TGAAATATGATGCCTGAAAATTTTTGCGATTACAATACTTTCTTTTTACTTCATACAAGGAAGTAAAAATACATTCAGTTCTTTTGTGGCCAGTTATATGTTAAATAGGGTTTAAATTCTGTGGAATGCTTAGTAATTTCATATTGTCTTTAGCTGCAGAATGGTGTAATTTTAGTATTTTCAAGTTTCTAAAAATCAAGTTTGAGTTAATGTTAAGAAGTAATAATGTGTATTTTGATATTAATGTAAACTCAAAATGTTCTTTGTTCAATAAAAATTAATTTTATATGATTCTTAAATATTCAGTTTATGTTCTAATTTTTTCTGCATCATGAAAATTTTTCTTTTTCCAATCCAGGTTATATACCATCTCCTATTATGTTTGGAAATGTTATTGATTCAACATGCATTTTATGGAAAGCTCATTGTGGGCGACCTGGGGGTTTTTGCCTCATGTACAACATAGAACATTTCAGACTAAAGTAAGTTGCTTATTTCTTTCTCTGTGTAGTCATTGAAACTACTGTAATATGTATACACGCACTGAAAAGCCATAGTAGAAAAATGAATGCATTTGATCAACAGTTATATGTATGTAGCACCAGTGGCAGAGTGGTTAAGAACCAGTGGCAGAGTGGTAAGGTAAAGTCGCTGAACATTGGTAGTTTTCGAATCCCGTGAACGAGCTGGCTGCTTGGGTGTTTTCATGGTTTTCCCCATGTGTAACATGTATACGAGCCAGTTTCCCTTAGAAAGTCCTCCACGAAGGCATCCCTCCCCTTAGGCAGGTAGCCCTAGTGTGCTTTGCCATAATTAAATACACACATACCCTCATGTGTTCTGTATTCTGATAACATCAGCAAGTATACGTGTCAGTGTCCCGTAATATATATAAAACCCAGAACTAGTTTTATATTTGTAATGTATCAGGTCTGAAGGTGAGATAAGCCATCATTTTATTGCAGCTTGTTAAAGGTGAAATTATGGCAAAATATTGAGAAATCACTTGCCTCACATATATCATCTAAAACAGTGTATCCTATGGACTACTGTGTGCTGTTGTATTGAGTGTGCAATCAAAAGTTATGCGAGGAAAGGTGGATAATTAATTATTGATCACACGGTAATTGTTGCCATAGCAGTGTTGAGTGCAACATTGTTTCACATCCCTTAGTACCCATACCAGCGGCTGAGCGGTAAAGTCGCTGAACACTGGTAGTTCGGTCCGAGGTTCGAATCCCGCGAACGGGCTGGCTGCATGGGTGTTTTCGTGGTTTTCCCCATGTGTAACGTGTATACGAGCCAGTTTCCCTTAGAAAGTCCTCCACGAAGGCATCCCTTCCCTTAGGCAGATAGCCCTAGTGTGCTTTGCCATAATTAAATACACCACACCTTAGTACCCATAATCATTCTTTGTTTGGACTGAGTAAATGCGGACTCAGTACTTCCCACATTCGATTGATGACAGGGAATGAAATAGGCACAATATTATCAGTGATGCATTATGGATGACAGCCCTCAGGGGCTCACTTTTGTGAGTACGAGTGTGGCAATCCCGAGGTACCCTAGCCCTTCAGGGGATCATCTTCTTGATGAGACGGGTGTCACGATCCTGGAGCCCCAGTGATCTATCCTCTTTTCCGTCTCCTCTCCTCTTGGCTGGAACTTTTCTCTCTTCCTCTCCCTCCCTTGTGGTTTCTCTCTACGGAGTTTGGGGCTCGTCACGAGAGCTGGAACAGACCTTGTTTCTAGTTTTCGAGTGGCGAGAAAACTGCCCACGTGTTGCCGTGCGTGGAGACCCGTGTCGCTGGAAAGGAGGGTCCTGGTAGTTGAGGGGCGAGGTACTGTCCCCAACACACTGCTTTGGCCTCTGCTTCAGCTAAATGGGAGGCACCTTAGTCGTCCTCACAGGTGTCAATCGGCTGGTCACTAGTCCTTGTGTCAGTGGCTTGGGGTCAAGCTCTCGGGAGTACCTGCTTTCGGGGAAAGCCGACTGTGGGGCTTCAGTTTGCGTATAGGTCCGGCTAGCAGTAACACAGGAATCTGTGTTCCCTTGTTGGGCTCCGTGGTGGGCGGAGGCCTTCGGACCCGAATCTTTTCTCTTTACAAACATGGCTTCACTTTTCTTTTTATTCTTAAAAAACCTGACTCAAATGATACCAACCAAAATATAGAAATCGTTGAGAAATCCATTAACAAAAAGATCCGGACCGATGAAAATACCAAAGATATTGAAGTTATTGACAAATCCATTACAAAGAAGATCCGTACCGTTGCAAATGCCAAAGAATCTGCTGATTGTCCGCGCTTTGTTGTTGTTTCCAGTGCCTCTGGAGAATTGCAAAAGATGTCTCCTTTCCTGGTCAGCAAATACATTCATTCCATTGTAGGTGAGCCAAGGAACATAAAGCGTCTCCATTCTGGAGACTTGCTCATTTATACCCTTTCGGCCACCCAGTCTGCTTCACTTTTATGTCAAACCAAACTTGGACAAGTAGCTATAACAGTGTCAGCACACAAAACACTTAATACCTGTAGAGGCGTGATCTCGGAGATCGACCTTCTGTGTGTTTCAGAAGAAGAGTTCGTCTCCGAGTTAGCTGACCAAAATGTCTGTGGTGCTAGGCGGATCAAGATGCAAAAGGAAGGTCAGTTTGATTGACACGAAACAACGTGATCCTGACCTTCAAATCGCCTGATCTGCCGAAGAATATAAAGGCTGGGTATCTTAAACTGTCCCGTAAGACCATATATTCCCAACCCAATGCGATGCTTCCAATGCCAGCGATTTGGTCACTCTAAGACATCCTGTCGTGGCACCCTTACGTGCGCCAGATGCTCGTTGGTTGGCCACGATAGTGATAAGTGCACCGCTGCGCCATTGTGTGTTAACTGCAAGGGTGATCACCCAGCATTTTCTCGCTCTTGTCCAAAATGGAAATCTGAAAAGGAAGTTCAGACCATAAAAGTTTCTAGGAATATTTCATATGCCGAAGCCAGGAGACAAGTTCAAAGCACACAGCCTCAATCAAACAAATCATATGCAAATGCCGTGAAATCAACCCGCACTATAGCCACCCAAACTTCCATAACTACACAGACTCCACCAAATAAAACCCAGCAGCCTGAAAGCAAGAAAAAAGAAAATCCAACACATACAATACAAAATAAAGAAATAACAATCTTGAGCAAACCAAAAACTGTGTCTCCAAAAATAGAAGCCGATCTGTAGATGACATGAATTCTGAATCTCTAGATTCAGACGGTATGAAAGTGGAGGAGGGAATGGAAGTTCCCGAGCATCTACTTCCGCGCAAAAGTAAAAAGGAACACAGGAAAAACAAACACCAATCATAATGGCCACCCTCGTCTGTCGCGGTTTCCACCGAAACTTGCTTGACATCAAAGCTGTAGTAAATGCTTATCATCCTGTGTGCTTCGCAATACAAGAGACAAATCTGAAACCAGATCAACATGCAAAACTTCGGAGGTTTTCTCTCGTCAGGAAGGATAACCTTACAGGTGAGCGTGCCAGCGGAGGTGTAGGTCTCCTCACCTCACTGGACTATCCCTCAAATGTACTTCCTTTGACGACATCCCTCCAAGTTGTCGCTACTCAAATAAATTTTGATATTGTTGTTTCATTTGTTTCTTTGTATTTGCCTCCAAATGAGCACATTTATCAGCAAGATTTAAATAATCTAATAGAGCAGCTGCCTGAGCCTTTTATCATAATAGGAGACTTTAAACGGCCATAGTCCACTCTGGGAAGTAAAGTAAGATACAAATTGCCGAGGAAGACAAATTGAGCAGATGATCGAAGATCATAGCCTTTGTGTCCTAAATAATGGGCAAGATACGTACTTCCATGAGCCTTCAAGGACATTCCACGCTTTCGATCTTGCCATCTGTTCACCATCTCTGTTGCCATTTTGCACTTTTAGTGTTGGAAATGACCTGTACAACAGCGATCATTATCCTATTTTTGGTGTCTCTTGCACGAAGAGGAGCAAACCCCGTGTCGAGAGTCCCTCATTTTATCCTGGACAGGGCAGACTGGGAACTCTTCTCTTCCGTTGCAGAGCTGATGGAGGAAATGGTAGAAGGTGTGCATATCGATGACGCTGTTGAAGCTGTTACTAATACTATTATTCAGGCAGCTATGCTTTCGATTCCTAGAACATCAGGAAAAACACTAAAATATTCGAAACCGTGGTGGAATCGCGACTGTCATGAAGCACTGAAAAAACAGAAAAAAGCATGGGGTATTTTTCGTAGATATCCTACTCTGCGAAATCTCATAGCTTTTAAAAGAGCCAAAGCAAATGCACGGAAAGTAAGAAGGCAGAGCCAGAGGGATTCCTGGATTTCATATGTGTCCTCAATAACATCCTCTACGCCTAGTAAGCGGGTTTGGGAAAGAGTTCGAAAAGCATGCGGAATGTATAAAGACCACTCACTTTCCTTTCTGGAAAAAGATGGCCGAGTGATTAGCTCCATAGAAGAAATTGCAAATACAATTGGTGAGACATTTGCTGCTGCCGTTTCTTCCAGCCGAAATTACTCACCTGCATTTCTTTCTATCAAGCAACGCTCTGAGAAAATCCCATCGCTTTCAACTCTTCTCCAACTTTGAGCCGTACAATAGAGACTTTACTATGGTTGAATTAAAGAGAGCTTTGTTGCAGACACATAGGTCTTGTCCGGGTCTGGATGGCGTGTATTATGAAATGCTAAAGCATCTGTCCTGTAAGTCACTGAGTGCCCTTCTCACACTTTACAATAGAGTGTGGAAGGAGCGTACATTTCCCAGTGCATGGAGGAGAGCTGTTGTCATTCCTATTGCGAAGCCAGGGAAAGACCCGAGGAATCCCTCGAACTATCGGCCAATTGCCCTTACCAGCTGTGTTTGCAAACTCTTTGAAAAGATGGTAAACAGCCACGTAGTCTACTTCTTGGAAAAGAATAATATTATATCGCCTTATCAAAGTGGTTTTCGAAAGGGGAGAACAACCGTGGATAACATGCTCCTCCTAGAGACTTCCATTCGGAAAGCATTTGTAAGAAGAAGCCACCTTGTCTCGGTATTCTTCGACATTGAGAAAGCTTATGATAAGGCATGGAGATACGGTATACTTCGGGATCTTCACAAGAGTGGCTTGCGCGGCAACCTACCAATTTTCATTCAGAATTTCTTGAAGAGTAGAACTTTTCAAGTAAGGATTGGCTCTGTTTTTTCGGATGTTTTTCAACAGGAAGAGGGTGTGCCTCAAGGCTGTGTGCTTAGTGTAACGCTGTTCAATCCTAAAAATAAATTCTCTATTTTAAAAGAACTTCCTCCTACCATCTTGGGATCACTATATGTAGATGATTTCCAGATTAGCTGTCGAGGGGCAGACATGAGATACATAGAGAGGCAATTGCAGATGGCTCTGAAGTAAGATCCAAGAATGGTCAAACAAACAGGGATTTACTTTTTTCA